TACAGTTTATTTTCCTAACGATTTCTTTTATAGTTAAAATATTTTCACGTTATTTATCTTTTATTACTGAAAAAAAAAATATGACTAAATGTTACATTTGATCTTTTATAACCAGCTATAAAGCTTTTATGGCTAATTTTTTATATGTATTTTTAAGAAAATTTCCAAATTAGTACTCTAAACATTATGAGTTTTATATATTAATTCTTTTTTAACACTTTATCTTTAGTTCTCTTTATGAATATAAAGTAGTAGAAGAAGCAAATTTTACATTCTCTCCAGTTATCAATTAGTTGTATTTTAAATATTAAATTCTGAGAAAATTCTTAATTATTAAATGTAAATTTTTAACTTTTCTGAAGTTAAAAATATAGTTCTTATGTAAAGAAAATTATTGATTAAATAAATAATTTTTAAAACGTAATTGGATCGTTTGCGTATAATTAGTTTGGTCTACAACACTTCGTTAATTTTAAATTCTAACTGAAATATTTTCTTTTCTCTTCAGATTTTAAATTATGTTTAGAAAAGCTGGTCTTGGAATTTCGTTAGGAACACATTAAAGATATTACTAAAGCTAATAATTTCGAATTATAACTATGTAATGTATTCTATTATTAAGATTATGGTTCAGTAATGAGAAAGTCTCTTCGAAAGTATCTTTCTTGATGAGATCTTGGGACATAATTTGTGTTTGAATTTGAATGTAGGCCTAAGGTTATTTTCCAAACATTACGAATTCTTAAGTTAAAGTTCTCAGAAACTGTTAACATCTGCCAACTGTTTTACGACATTTAGGAGAATGTATACTATCGGCACTTTGCCAAAGGAGGAAAGTTCATTTTCGTCTCGTTCAATTAACATGTTTAACAACATTTAATATGAGGAACGTTAATTTAGCCGTAAATCACTCGATTTTGTTGTTTACTAAAACTGTTTGTGCAATTAATAATTAAAGAAGATGGATATGATAAGTATAATTCACAGTGAAAAATTTAAGAGAAAATGATTACTGGTTTCAATTTTGTGTTATTCATAACTTTGGTGCTAGAAATTACAGAAGAAACCATTATCGGCCATCATTTACATAGTTTCAATTTCAAAAATTTGATTTCTGCACGATCTTGTCGTTAATTCGTTAAGATGTAAAGTGTAACTTAATCATAATTGCCGGGTTCAGTTTTGAAGTGAACCGAGTCAAAATTAAAATTCCTTTTATTACCTGCTTTGTATTTAATTTTGTTTTCTTTTTCTGCTTTTTATGTTTGGAAATATGATGCATTTTTACACTGTATTAACTACATACAGCACCCATTAATAAATTTCGACTTACTTTAAAGATGAATTAAAATAATAATTCCTAAATAATTCGCTCTAAAAAAAGTTTGTGTGGACGTGGTTCACTTTAGAACTGAATCCTCCAATTTTTGTTTTATTAATATTTTTAAAATGTGAAAAAGTCTTATTTATTATCATTAACTGATTGTTTATTGTTTATTGATTATAACTATATGCTGTTTATTCTGTTTTTAACACTGTATTATTGATGTTTATATTAATTTGAGATGCCTGAAATGGAGTGCTATGATGTTCCTTGACAGGTATTTTTTCATGTCAATTAATATGTCTATTATCTTTAATTAAACTTTCAAAAGATGCTTTCAAGAAGACATCTTTAGACGAATACGATTCCTGAGTATTGTTCCTCCATTTTTATGTTCTTGACAACAATAACGAAGTTCTAAAAGATACTTTAAAACCAGATAATTTCATTTTCTCATTTTATTCTTTGTTTCTTACGCAGAAACTTTTCGATCTCAATTAGTTGAAGAGTTGCTTCATTTCTGTCAAGTTCTTGTGACGTCATAGCTTCATTCTTCCATCCTTTCAACTAATTAGTTGGTTATTTTCTGAAACGCGAAGAGAAAATCGACCTTCCTTTCGTATCTCCCAACTTAATTGAATAACTTTTTACTTTGTTTCTTATAGAATAAGAAAATTTTTACTTCAATAACACAGCTCCTTTTTTATATTTTAAATTTAATATTTCTCGTTTTTTTATATATAGATATAAAACAAAGAATAAAATTATATTTTGAATCAGTAGTAAGAGATTACTTGTTAAACAAAACGATAATTGTTTAAGTTCTGAAGTAATCGTTTAAAAGTCTTCCTAAATGTTTTAAATAAAATATTAAATAATATATTTATATTTCATCTACGTGAAAATATAGTACTGTATCCGAAATAAATACATTACTCTTTATATAACAGATGAATTATACTGTTTAATGTAACGAATGAATTATAGAGTCCTTTTACGTAACTGAAGAATTACACTCTTTAATGTAACAGATGAAATATAGACCACTATTTATTCTTGCAGATTTTCATCAATTACATTTAATGTATGTGTAGCAGATTTTTCTCAATAACATATAATTCAAGAGTCTGTTTAAAAGTTTAACAATTGTAAATAAATAACCTAATCTGTGTTCAATTAGAAAGTTACAATCCGTTGTCTAAACTAATCCTTAATAGGAAGACTACTTATTTTCTTACTTAAGAGAACAATACTATAAGGGTAAAGTATCATTCGACCTTCCGTATGAAGATCGATGAAGGTTAGAGGAGCGACCGGCTATTGATCAGTTGGATACCACCCACGAACCTCCCCCTAAATTCCAGAATAGGGAAGAAAAAAGAAGAGGCAGTAATTTAGAAACAAGGAAAGGGGAAAAGAACCTGGAGTGAGTGCAATAGAAACAAACTAGAAGTTTGGGAAAAGAACTTGATTTTGATTTTGAGAATCTGTTGTCCCCTATATTAGTTCCTAAGTTTTATAAGAATCCAATAATTACGTTTTAAAGTAGTTTTAAAAGCTTAAAACTTTTTAAAATTTAAAATTATTTTATAAATTATATATATATTATTTTAGAATATATATAGATGTAAGTTATATAATTATCTTAATATTGTAATATGCATACTATTTTATATATTATATTGTAAGTATTTATTTTATGAATTTGTATTTATTACATACAAAATATATTTTCATTAATAGGACAAACAAAATACTGTTTTCTTTCTTTATTTTTATTAAATAAGGAATATATTTGTTATTAAATTATGGTTCTGAAATATTCTTGAGTACGTATATCGGAATAAATTCTTTTTAAAAATCCAATTATCTGAACATAAAGTTATTCTTTGAATTCTTTTAGTCAGTTCAGTTTATTAGAAGTAGAGGTTGAAAAAAGATTCTTGTGTATTGGATTACTGGAAAATAATAAGAGTTCTGTTCTCACTTTAACTTACCTATATCTTCAGCTTTACTTCGTTTATTGCTATTTCAAGCGAAAAAAAGAAAAATCGAGAGTACTTTGTTATAGTTTGTTGAAATATATTTTCTTCGATAATATTGTGGAAGCATTCGAAACAAATTGTTGTTTAAACTTCAAAAGTTTTAAGTTTAACTGATTACATTTTAACAGAAAATTAATGAAATAAAAATCATATCTAAAATTAGTACAAAAATAGCATTCAATATTTATTAAGGATCTAAAAATTATACAATTTCGGAGAAATTCTATAATCTTTTAAATAAGTTTATTTTTAATTCTATAAAGATTTATTAAAACTGTTGCATAATAAATTATTATAGCAATTTTGTAAAGATAAAATTGAATAAATTAATTATTTATGAGTCCCTTCTTTTAAAGAAAATCATCAATAAATTATTAATTTATCTTCTGTATTATAGAAATAATTCCTAGAATTGATTATAATTTTATTGTTAGTTACATATTGGTTTTCTATAATAATTGGCCCAATTTAATCTCGAAGAAATTTTATAGTACTAAATTATTTAAATGTAAATCTACTGATTGCATGATGAAATAAAATTAATGTTTTTATTTTATTGCTCTACTTAGTGGCTTTATTCGTCATTTTTATTTTTTCAATAATGTATTTTAGTTTTTTATAAGCTTAGAAAAGTATATTAAAATTTCAGGCACAACGATATTCGTCAGAGATGTTTTACATTAATATAAATAAAGCGGAAATCCAAGCTGTCATCATATGCCTTCCGCAGACATCTGAAACAGCTTCGGACATGAGTAAATGAACCTCTCTCGAGGGATTCTGTTGTAATGAGTACTTGCCAGAAATGGGTCTCTTTGGTGCCGAAGTTGACAGGGTCACGCAAGCAGTAACTCTGCCATAATTCTAGCATAACGCTGTTAACGTTCCGGTGTGCACAATCTCACAAAATATAAACTCACAAATTAGGTTTGGCGAACTGTCCCCTCCGAAATAAAATTAAAGTGTAACGATGGACAAAGTTTTAATACGAAAATTACCCAAGTAACTAGGATCAATTTATTTAGCTTCTATTTGAATGCCAAGTGGAAGAAAAACTTCTTACTAATTACCATATAAATCTGAAGCATATTGGTAAAAATACAAGAAAAAAAGAATTCTAACGATAATATTATATAAAGAACTTACAAAATAATAATGGTTTATTGATCTCATCCAAATTTTTAAAAACGAATCGGATTTAAGAAACGGTTATGGCGTCGGGATCAAGGCGCGTTACCAATATCTCTATGTGCAACCTGCTTTTAGTAAAAATTGATTAAAAAGTAGTGAAAAAGCGATATTCTCAAAACTGTAAAACAACGAAACAGGAGTCTTATTGAGATTTAAGTTTACAAACTAATGATTAGCGGATTTCAAACTAAAATTGCGGATTTGGAAAAACGCTCAAGTTGTACTTTACTGGGCATCAAGCTGTCAATCGTGAAAACTTCTTAAGAGATTTTCTGATCTTCCCAAGAGAAGAAAAAATAAAAAAAGAAATGTTTTGAGAGAACGATTCAGACGGAAGAAGGTCAAGTGCAGAAACCATTTTCTCCCAGTAGTCATGGAGACGGTTGTCAATTCTTCCGTGCACTCCTGCACTGACGCTCCTGTCAATATCAGGGACTAACTCCCGTTCTTTCTGCCTTCGGGAACTAATATTAAAGTCCAAGTGAAGCCTTCGGGCTCGTAACCGACTCTGTTTTTTTTTCTTCCCTTCTTCTTCCTTTCTCCCTTTAAGAGAAGTATACGTTTCTGCGCTATCCCATCATTCTTTACTTCTTTTTCCATCCTGCAGGCAGTTTAGAAACATTCTTGATTTTACCTTTTGTTGTATCTACTCCTTTATATAAAGAAATGAATCCGTTAAGTTAGTAAAGTAGTTAAATATTTGTTGTTAAAATAAAGCAGTTCAAATTCAAATAAAATCCGGTAAAAGAAAAGCATTTCCAATGTACAGTACGTATACAAATTCTTAATTAGATAAAAAAAAAAAAACATTTTTGTTTTTAAATTTATAAAAAATATAAGATATAAAAAATTTGATATTTTTCCGATATTTTCTAATTAATGATTTTCAAAATCGATTATTTTTTTCTTAGATATCGATATATATCGATTAATAATATTTTTTTGAAGTAAAATAAAACCCAGTTGTGACCACGTGATGGAAATCATAGGCAGTGAAATTTTTGCAAAACTCTTGCGTACTTTCTAAAATTGAAAGAAAGTTTGAGATAAAGTTATTTTTCAAACGACATCCATCACTTTGACAAACTTAGGAGATGCAAAGAATTATTTGAAGTTTAAAAAAAAGCCGATAATGCATCGACCATTATCAAATACCGACAAAATATCAAAAAGAAAACGAAAATATCATCGCATAAGTATTATCGTCGGTGAAAGTTTGTAAGAAACTATCTTTCTCGATGCTAAATCAAAATGTATTATTGCTGCTGTACTTTGTTCAATATACAATCAGAAAAATTGTAATATTCCTTCGACGTTTTCGTAGCAAGTTTTTCCTATAAAACTTGCAAAAAAATTTTTCTTTTTCGTAAATCAATTAAGTGAAGATAAATTGAGACAAAACGAAAATCTTATAGGTTATTGAATATTGATTTCTTTCAACGAAATATATCTGAATATCGATCAGAAAGTATGCTTGAATGTAAAGAAATCAACGAAAGAAAGTTTGATTTCGAAAGAAATAACAACAGTTAGAAAGTTTTTCTAACAGCTTAAATCAATGAAAAAAAAAGGGAGAGAAAAAACATTTTCAATAAGAAAAGTAAATTCAGTAAATGAAATAAAAAATTTTTATATTTTTAAAGACAAATTTAGACATTAAATTTAATCTTCAAAAACTCGATGGTGAAAAGATTAGATTTTTTAAAAAAAATAAGAAAAAGAAAACCCGATTAAAACTTTTAAATCGCGAATTTCTGATCAATTAAAATGATTAATCATTTATTTCTGCTGACCTTTCTCCTTGTAATTTTTTTCTTGACATGTTTTTAATTCTCCTTGGAAATTGAAACAAAGAGTGATTGAAATGAAGATCATAAATTTTCGTGTCGATTTATAATAATTATCAATATTTTTGTTCAGATATTATTATAATTAAAAAACATTATTCAAAGACGATACAGGAGGACATAATATTTAGTTGTAATGAATAGTTAGAAGCTTTACACGTAAAAGGACAGTTGAAAAAGTTCGATAAATTAATAATAGTCAAAGTATCATTAAAGAGATTGATGAAGACTTTATAGAAAGCCAAATCTTTGTTACGAAAATTGATAAGTGTGACAATAATAACGAGAGGTCCATCAAGAGAAATTATCTCTCGTCCAATAATATAGATAGAGGATTTAATGAAAATAGAAGTTCAAAGATTCGACCCGAAAATATATTTGAAGATTTTTAAACTTCTCAAAAATGTTTAATGGGACTTTGACGATAATTCATCCACAAAATTATACTTTGATTATGTTTATCGAGTACATGAAGTGAGTTAAATTCGATTGAAGAATAAAACTAATTCGCTGAATTAAATTAAACTTTATATTCATCACTATAGTCATTTTCAATGGAATTTGAAGTGGATACAACAAATAATTTAATTGGAAACAACTAAGGTAGTACGCGAGTAAATCTCATTTGCACAACAAAAAAGCTACATATACTGCGAGATTAAAAAATTCTGTTGCATTGATAAAAGGTTACAACTAATTTTCGAACTTGACTATTGCAAGGAAATCGTTAATTGTTCGAGATCAAATGAAGACTTCCAAGTTTGTTCTCTAAGGACACACTACAGTTACGGTCAACCTAATTGGAGACGTTGGCTAGTTAATTTGCAGCCGAGTAAGGTATAAACGAAAGCATAACAAACAAGAGCCGACTAAGTTAAGCAGAAATGTTTCCATTCTATTCTTTAGCACGTAATGTAAATAATCTCATTGACAAACTTCTGTTAACCTTAGAGATTTTGGAAAAAGAAATAATGCTAAAAAAAAGAAGAAAATAAAGAAAAAGTCGCCTGAATCCTGTTAGAAAAGGGAAATTCAACAATAAAAGGAGCTAAGACTGCAAATTCGTTCTACGTAGCAGGTGCTCTCCCAATTAAGTGGTCATTAATGCCACCCGTTATACAATGCGGTCTCGGACCCGGAGCCATCAATGACGGCTGCCAACTTCTGATTGTATTGTCGTTAGTTCGCCTTTGCTATACGCGTTAGAATTATACAGAAGAGAAAAAATCGTCAGAAATTTCCAAAGTTGTCTATTAGTTTTGATGCAGTCAGAGAGACAATAGATGACATCTGCTGAATTGTATAAGGTTCAACGAATTTGTTCAAAAGCCAAAACTTCATCAACAAAATCTGTAATCTTCATTATAGTCAAATGACCTAACACAAAGAAGTGAAATTTCAATTTTTCTATTATTTATGTAAAATAATTTATAAACTTGATTCGTTGAAAAATCAGATATGTTATTTAACATATTTCTGAAGAATATTTATAAGTCTGTATAAAATTATTTATGAATATTTGAGCTTTGTTATAGTTATATAGATTAGAATAATTCAAAAAATGTCATATGCAATAAGTTAATATATCATGTTTCAGAAATTAAATGACGGTTTGATAGAATAAACAATAAATTATTTTAGATATCGATGTTTTTCTGTTGTTTTTCTGTTGTTTTTCATAGACAGACAAAAAAATTATTATTTTTTTTGCCAAGTTGGTAATGTTTAGATCATCTTGGAACTCACATTATGCTGATACATGCAGTGATGATTGTAGTACTGCCTGTCCATTTTTTTCAATAGGATTTTCAACTCCTATCGCGTGCCAAAGACTTATGCAGAAAACCAATTATGACAGGCTTATTCTTTAAATTATCCCGTGTATAACCCTGTCATAATTAACTACATCTTCAATATTTTATCAGCGGGAGTATTGTGAAATCAACAGTTGTTTCAAAATCCTTTATTCCGTGTAAGGTTGAAATAGCAATATAATTCATTTATATTTCAAAGAATAACAATTTTCTATCAAAATTTCGACATTGCAACGAAAACATCCGAGCTGGCAAAGTGCCCAAGCATCCCAATCTGACAGTCTTCTATCCATGTGTGGGGCTGTGCCCAGCGGGATGCTGACAAATGTCCCAGACCAAGGGTTGGAAGGCATCCAGGTCGGGAGAAAACTCACGTCAACCCAGGCCTTACATCACCGTCTTACCCTTGGGACTACCGTCTGAAAATCCCACGCGACTTCGACTGACAGACAATCCTACATATCGATACAAACTTGAGACTTTTGACATTCGTCGGATTTGAGAATATCTAAGCTTTTTGGATTTGATACAATGTGAAGAATCAAACCAATATAGTTCTACACAAAGAAAACTTACATCTACAGACAATGATGGACGATGGAATACGACTAGATATATGCTGCATTAAGAACTTTTAAAATGGAAACTAGGAAGAGAAAAAAATTAAAAATCAGAAATATTCTCTATGAAATATGTATGTATCGCCAAACTTTTGCAAGTCAATAGCTTTATTTTTAAGGTAAACGATTATGAATATGAAAGCAGGATATCGGTTTTATTTCCTATGATTATGCCAACAAAATCAAACTTCCTAAAATTAATTCAAAGTAAAATTTTGTTAGATAAACTTTCTCCTTAAAGTTTTTATTCTTTTACAACATTATACAATTTTTCTACACCGTATTCTTTCTTTAAAACTTATCTTTTATCTTTCTTTAACGCGTGATTAGCGGACATTCACCGAACTTGTCGTTTGTAACGGTTTTAGCGTTTAAATTTACAACTGGCTACTAAACATTAGAAGATTTATAACAATAATTAGGTTGCAGAATTATCAGCCTGATAATTATGACCGAGAGTATTTGTTAAATTAAGAAAACATTTAAATAAATTTATCTTCTTTAAGTTGATAAGTTTTAATTGAGTTGTAAGGAAAATTACAAGGGATAGGCTATTTTAAGTATTGCTAGTTATTCAGATCATCCGTGCAGTTCGAAGCGAGTTTCTGAGTATCATATCGTATGGATGGCTTGTGCTAATGAGATGATTACATCGCGGCTATCTTCCCACTGAGGGAGTTTTATCTGTTCGATAAATTCTCTTTTTCCCCATATTTTTTGTAGCTCTTAGTCTATCTCCGCCCGTTCCTTGTCGGACTCTCCGAAAGTCTTTGCTGGGATTTCAAAGATTGTGGACGCCTCTGACGATTCTTTCCTTAATCAAATGTCTTTAAATTGTTGGAGGAAGATAGGATAATGAGTATTAACCCCCGAGTAATGAAAGCTATCTTTCTATTCAGCATTTGCCTGCTTTAAATACGGCAAAAACACTGCATTCTTAATAATTCGGAACTGATTTATTAACCACTTATCAATTTATTCGGGTAGTTAATTTTTATTATTTATTTTATTAAACTTTTTATTCTTTAGATGTATAAATCTATTTTATAGACTTATTAAAGCGAATAATCATTTATATTTTTTTAATATAAATTTCTAATGGAGAAAAATTCTATGCTCATTTTATTAATGGACATAAAGTGTTTGACATTGTAATAAATTTCTTTGTTTTTTTTTAATGAATTTCTTAATTTTTTATCATACATTGTTTATAAGTATTGAGTATTATATATACTTTTGAAGGTGTCCTTTATAGAAACATAGGGATTATGCAAACTCTGAGCGCAATTGATATCAATCGCAAATAACCTGGATTTGTC